ATCAAAGAGCGAGAGACAAGAAAGGCAAGGCTCACCGAGCCATTTATTTATCTCTCCATCCTTCAGTTAATCCCACTTGTGTTTATCGGCCAGGCTGGCACAATAAACTAACTATCTCACTACCACAGAAAGCTAGGAGGACAAAACTACATTTGAAGTGGAATGTACTGTCACTTGACTATAACAATTTGAAATACGATGATCACAATGTGACAAGTTCAAAGAAATAGCCTTTTTTAGGCATATACTGTGCAATGTTTCTTAGTCCCTGCTACATATAAAGATTACACAAAGATGCACAAATCCACAATTAGGTAAGCAGTAAGCATTTTATGTATTGAAATACCCTTCATTCTAGACTAGAAGTACAGAGTTACAGAGTATAATCTTAACACTTTTTTACAAGTATAATAAGTATGGTACATTCTATAAACTGGAGGAAAATGGCGTTTTGTCTGTAAATTTACTACCTACCAACTTACTCTGAACCGTCCTGCTAAGCATTGATATGTTAGAAGAAAAATAAAGTCAAACTATTTATCTTTTTTTTTTTTTTTTACCATTTGGTAGCATTTTATAACAAACAGGCTTTCATCTTCACAATTCCCTGGGTTCAGTAGAAAAACCTTTTAAATGAAGTTTTTTTAAGATAGAAACTTCTCAGCAGTCAACATTTAGATTGTAAATAAAAACATGCAAAACATACTTTTCTGAAAACTCTTCACTTTGAACAAAGCACTGAACTACACAAATGCAGAATGAAAACAGCATTTCAACTCCACCAAAAATAGTCATTATAAAAGGTATATGAGTCACCTAACTTCAGCAGGTGCTGTTCAGTTTTAAGTAGGAGACAATAAAAAAATTTTTTTAAAAATTACAACAATAAATATTCCAGCTCTAGGGCATGTTTCAGAAAGCCTTCAACTTCACGCTTTAATAGGTGTGAGGAGAGTTGATTGAAATCTGGAACTTGACCCGTATCCTCCATGACGTTAGTAGGGAGAAGCCTTCCATAATTTTGATCCCACTCGAGCGACTCGGCATCCTCCTCCTCTGCCACCTTCTCTATGCGGTGGTGGTCCCAATCGTCATCGCTTCCACTGCGTCCTGTCGTGGTAGTCCTGATGGTGGGTCTCCCCATGTAGCTCTCGGGTGTTTGGGTGGTTATAGCGAAATCAACTCTGGTCCTATAGCCACTCCGTTCCAGTCCATTGGCAAGCTCTTCAGCTTCCACGGCATCCTGTACATTTTCAAAAAGATACAAAGGCAAATCCTCTTGAATGCCAGGACTGCTGCTGGGCATCTACAGTAGAAACAGAGTCAATGGGGCCATCTTGAGAGAACACTTTTCTGCGATCTCTTTCTGTGGTTTACAAACTCCACCCAAACCCTCCAAGACAACAGTTGGGATCCGGATTTGTCCGAGTCCCAACAGGACACCTCCGAGTAGACATGGGAGCAGGACTGCGGCGGTGCTGGCTGTGAGAACCTGCGCTGCGTGGGATTGAGACCTGCTATGGGATCGAGACCGGACAAGGTCAAACACCTCTGGATCTAGATCTAGATTCGGATCTGGCCTGGACTTTGATCTGACTGCCTGGAATCTTAGTCTTGTAGATTTCCCAGATCCGTGCGCACTTCCACTTTCTAGAAGCAGACCGAGATTAAGGGAGTGATTTCTGACCCCAAGTTACTTTTTATTAAACTTCATTTTAATTTCTTTTCTTTATTCTTGCATTTCAAATTCTGATTTATTTCATCTTCCCCACTTCACACAAATTGCTCCATAGTCTACAAATGGGACGTCTGGTCTGGTAATTAGTATGCATTCTTTCTTTTATTTTTTCAAATTTCAACTTCACTTATTTCTGATCTTTAAGTACTTTTTTATAAAACTTGTCAACCGAGGGCTTCCTTCAACAGTAACCAGGCGAAGGGCCGCAGGCTCGCTGCCTCTCCTCTCCTCCGGGCCCTGGCACACCCAGGAGGAGCGTTTGCAGTCAGCAGCCTCCCAGCACTGGGATGCCAAGGGTTTTCTGACTCTAGCAAGGTTTTTGCTTGGTTCATTTTAATTCTTTACTTTTTCCTTCATGAGTCACCTTCTGAAATCCTCTATTCTGTCATTTTGTTTTATAATTTCTTCCTTTCACTTTAGCTACTCTATATTCCCGAGCAAGTTTTAAAGTTTCTTGTAGCATCCACACTTCCCAGGCTTCTTAATTACCTTACACGTTCTTCATAGCGATATCAGCTGTGATGTCCTTGACGTCATCCCATAGTCATTGATGACTGGCGCTTGGCCATTGGTGTTCAGTGCACCCAGATACAAGGGGGGTTCAAAAATTTGTGAAAAAAATGGAATGAAAAGATAATGGAATTTTTCCGTGAAGTTTTGAAGCCTCCTCACACCCCTCATATTTAAGGGCAAATAGGCCTTATTATCATGAGTAATCTAAGTGAATAGTGCCTACCACACAATCTCTGGCCAGAATGGGCGTCATAGCCTCTCTTACCCAGAACTTAATCGGTGGGGGCCTCGCTTTCCTGGGGAGGGTCCTCTGCCTTGGACCTGTTCTGTGGCCCTCTGCTCTGCTTACTAACAGGTCCCTTCTCTCATGACTCCTCTCTCCATGGACCTACAGCCATGACTCGCTGGCCAGGCAAGACCACCTAGGCTGTTTCCCTTCATTTTGCCCTCTTTTATGTCCTTGATTCTAGCCTCAGGTATCCAGTTTCCCAAGATTGAATTCCCAGGAAAGAGGTCTGATTGGTGCTCCTCATGTGTTTCAGGTTTCAGGCTGCTGCCCTCGTATTGGGTCCTTTTCAGAAATGTCTGGGACACTGACTTTCAACAAGAGCTGTACGTGGAGGCAGCTGTTGATGTTATTTCTAGTATCCACTCATCTGATGCCTTCTCAGCGGAGTCGGTGGTAGAACATGCCATCAGAAAGATGGAGTTGTGTGGGGAGAGATCAGGGCCTGAGCAGTGTCTTATGTTGTTTGGTTGGGTGCCCATCCCCACCCTTGGTAACTGGCACAACTTGTGTTGAGAAAGCTTGTGATGAGTCACCTGGGCCTGGCTCCGACAGGCCTCCACAGGATCAGATATGGATCACACACCTGGAGGTGTGAGGCCTGGGTGGACGAGTGGGCAGGTGGATGAGTGAGGAGGTCCTTTGCCCACCGATTCATTGCTCCTGAGAACTTATCTCCCCTGGTGTATGGCCATGCCAAACCCCTAACCCAGTTAGAATTTTCACCACTAGGTCTCTGCCCAAAGGTTACCTGGTCAGAGAGGTTTTTGCTAACCACCCTGTTTAAAACGATGCCCTCCGCCACACTATCTCCTTGTCCTGTCCCATTTGCTTCATAGCATGCATCCCCAACTGATTTACATTTGCATATTACTTGTCTCCCTTCACATGTGCTCCACTGCTGTGCCCCACTGCCTTAAACAATAAGGGATGCATAGCAGATGCTTCATAAATATAAGTGCGTCTGTGGATGAGCAGAAATCTGCCAGGACGCGCCCTGGAAAGACCAGAGCTGCAGCTTTCCCACCCTTGCACCTCTCCGCCTTGCCTGCCTTGCCTCCCTTTACAGGTCGCCGTGTTTTCTGGTCTCCCACAGGAACGCAGCAAACTGATAAAGAATGGCGGCATTTCTGTGCACCTGCAGACCATGGAGCCGGGGGCCAAGTACTGTGCAAAGGCCCAGACACTCGTGAAGGCCATTGAGAGGCGGAGTGCCTTCAGCCGGGTGGAATGTGTGGAGGTTGAAGGTAAGGACAGGCAGGTCCCCTGGCCTTATCCTCCTGGTTGCGTGTGGATGTCTGCTGAGCGACTGTGGTTCTGGGTCATCCCTTGTGGGACGATCTGTCCCCAGGCTGGGTGGGTTCCCCTTTTGTCTACAAGGGTCCTCATGGAGAGTCTACAGAATTCTCTTGTTTGACTCAATCCCTGTTTGATAGTTGCCACCACCACCAACAAAAAACACCTCAAAGATACGAAATGCCCACACCCCGTGACCTTGCTATCAAAGAGTATTAGTTATGTTTCTGTGTATAGTAGTTAAGCCATTCACATGTTAAATTCTTACTTTGAATATTAGTACATTCATATGGCTCCCCCCAAAGCATAAGAAAGCTCTCCTTCCCACTGTTCTTTCCCACACAGATCAGTGTTTGGAGCCAGTTCTACCTACGTGACCTTTAGTAAGGCACTTACCCATCTGCACAGCCATCTCCTGCTCTCTGGAGTCAGGGGTGTCTTTTCCTGTTTTGAAGACTACTTGTAGGTATTAGGAGCCCTGGTACACATAGTAGGTGCTACATATCTAACAGCCATTGTGTGACTGATTTCTGAACTCAGTATTTTCCTCTAGAATAGGGATCAATGCCAGGAGCAAATTGTGCAGCATGCTCTGTTTGCAGTTATCGCCCTGTTGTGCTGTTCTCTTTCAGCACCTCCCCCGCATCCTGCCTTGGGCTGGCACTCTGCCATCCTCCTGGTAACCGTGCCAAGGTATGTGCTAACCAGGCTGGTTGCTGAACAAGTGATGCTCCTCCCCTTTCCCTTCCTGAGAAAAGGATTTGAATCTTCCCTGGGGCTTTCTGCAAACCAGGCATTAATCTAGATTTTTGAAAGAGGGTTTTACTGGAGGTAATTTTAATCTCTAGGGCACAGAAGAACTCTTAGAATGTTGCCAGCTACCATCTTGGCCAATGCACAGAGCCAACTCTGGGAAACCGAGGCGGCTCAGGATCAAAGATGCTATCTCCACCGCTCCTTCCTGAGTGCTTTTTCTCTCTTTGTTTCTAGGAGAGGCCCTCCCCCTGGCATTGGCCCTGTTTGCGTTTGTGGGCTTCCTGCTGACCCTTGCGCTTGTGCCACTCTTCATCTGGAAAGTGGGCAAGGTGCTCCGGGACTCCTGCTGCCCCACCGTGGTCCTCCCTGACACCTTGGTAGTAATATTCCCTCTTCTCTTCAGCATGGCCTTGGCCAGGTGTTAGTCGCTCATGACACATGTTTCCTGGGTTCACAGACACTTGCAGAGAGGGGAAATAAGCACTTACAAGATGTCACTTCTAATCAGGAGCCAAGGAAAAAATCTCTCTTTGCCAGCAAGTGATGACCTTCTGGAGCTCTGTTTGTCTCCAGGACACAACTTGGCAAAGAGAGCAGGTGTGCTGCACAGCCCAGGTTGCCTGGCGTCTCAAGAGTCGTGTGCAGCGTTTCCCCAGACTGGCCTGCCAGGTCTTCCTGACCGTTTCCAAAATTGTAACAACAGCTATAGCCAATGACATGTTCCCACACCACCAGTGCCACTGAATTGATTCTGACTCATAGCAACCGAGGTAAGGTACATCCTTGAGTATATCCTACCTGGATTTAAAGACCATCTTAAAGACAGATTTGACATATTGAACACTAATGGTCCAATGAATTGTGGAAACGACAGTATAGACATTATAGATGAAAGTAAAAGGTCGCTGAAAAGACAGGAAAGGAAAAAAGATCAAAATGCATGTCAGAAACAACTACGGAACTTGCTCTTGAATTTAGACTAGCTAAAGTAAATGGAGGAAAGGATGAAGCACTGATCAGAAGATTTCAATGGGCAGTTAGAGAAAACAAAGTAAAATATTGCAAGAACATGTACGCGGACCATGAGTTAGAAAACTAAGTGGGAAGGACATTCTTGGTATTTTCAAGCAGCAAGAACTAAAGAAAAATTCAAGTTTTGAGTAGCAGTATTGAGGGGACCAGCCTCCCTACAAACAAATGGGTCCCGGGGCAGTTGGGAAATTGAGGGGTAAATTAAAGAGACACCAGACAAGATAAAGCATGTAAGGGCTCACCCCCACAGTCATGACTTCAGGATCCAGGTCTGTACAGAGAGAGAGATCAATGCATTCTCAGTAGCTTATATGATCTCGAGCACGTAGACCATGGTAAGCACATATGTAACAACAAGGGGTTGTACAAGGGGCATACATATAACATGAGGGGGATAAGCTAGGGGTGTACACACAATAGGAAGGGGAGGCACTAGAGGCATACATGTGACAGGAAGGTACATACATAACAAGATGGGCGGGCCCTAGAGTCCAGGGCAGCCTAACTTTGTTCGTCCCTGAGTTGGCTTGACCTTAGATGTCTTTGAGCTCTTCTCCAGGGGAAGCAATCTATGATCCTTATCAGAAGGTAATGGGTCCTACTTAGGGTGGGCGAGACCATAGGGTCTGATTGCTTTTGATGGCAGACAACCTTCAGGCAGATAGCCTGTAAGCAGTTGACCTTCAAGAGTGCAGTGAGCAACCATGTGTTTTCAAACAGCGCCTTAAATTTGGCATTATTATGGGGAGGACATTGAGGAGAATAACTTTAACTTAGGAGAATGTGAGTGTGACGCATTTCCAACCCATGAATATGAAGGCTTTTTCCACAGGAGCCCTGGCCTCCCAGTGTTCTTAACGTAGGAATGTTGAGAGTTTGTCTGCATACCCACTCTTCCTGGTTGTCAGTTTCCCACACAATATTCTATGGGCAAAATATTGAATTATGCAGAAAGCATCAAAAGAAGATTGAAGAAATACAGTCACTGTGTCCAAATGTATTGATTGATGTTCAACCACTTCAGGGTAGCATATGACCAAGTATCAATGGTACTAAAGGAAAAATTCCAAGCTGCACCAAAAACAGTGCCAAAAATAAGGTTCTCGGAATTGATGGAATATAGATGTTTCAACACATGGATCCAACTCTGGAGCAGTCACTTGTGTATGCGAAGAAATCTGGAAAGAAGGAAACGTGGCTGACCAAGTGTCCATGCGCATTTCAAGGAAAGATGATCTGGTGCGATACAGAGCTTACAGAACAATAGCAGACACAAGTGCAATTTTGCTCAAGATAAAAAACAAAACAAAAATAAAACAGCTGCAGCACTAAATCTACAGGGAGCTGCCAGAAATTCAAGCCGGCGACAGCAGAGTACATGGAACCAGGGATGTCATGACTGATGTCAAATCTTGGTCATGTTATCGGCTGGGACCAGTCCCTGAAGAAGGAATCAACTTGGTGAAGCAGAGGAGCGGTGACACACAGGAGGATTCGCACTGAGATGGGTTGACACACTGGCTGCAACAATAGGTGCAAACACAGCAGTGCTTGTGAGGATGGTGCACGACTGAGTAGTTTTACATTTTGTTGTCAATAAGGTTGTTAGGAGTCAGAATGGATTGGATGGCACCTGCAAACACGCCCCCTGCTCCCCCCTCCCCGACAAGGGCACTCCAAAATTTCATGGAAAATGGAGTCAAAGGACATGGGGCTGCTGAGAGAAGGTACAATATGAGTATGAAGGACCTCTCTCACAGGGAACACCCTCTCTCTGAATGGGTACTGTGCTGGTGTTTCACATAGAGCATCACAGGGCGGGAAAGTATTTTCAGAGCTCTCTGGTGGAAGGGGTTACGATTCTATTTTTTAACCAGAATTGTGTTTTTGGCTTTTGTGGGGTAGGGATGGCCAGAGATGGGAGCATGACCAAGCTGGGTCAGGGAACTGAGCAGCATTGACCAAGGGAGCAGAGAGATGATCTATGGGTTGCAATGGTCCTTGGGTATTTTTAGTGTTTGAAAAGGAACTCATCAAACAGTCGGGAATGTTGTGGTTTTTAAAAAAATTACTGCTACCTTCTAATGAATATTATGAAAATTATTTTTCAGAAAATAACCAATTCACCCCAGAAGTTAATCAGCAGCAGAAAGGAGGAAGTGGAGCCCTGTGCCATGTCTGTGCTGTCTTCTGAGGACCTCCTCAGGGCCTGGATCTAACGGGCGTGGGAAAGCGCAGGCGGAGCGGAGCACCAGGTGTGCACAACACTGGAGCCGTGAAGAGGAAGGCTGTGTTTCTGTTTTCCTCCGTGGACAAGAGGCAAGGGAACAAGAAGAGCCTGTCCTGTCCTTGCCTACATGCAACTGTCCGAGGCAGAGAGCTTCAGTGGACAGAGAGAGCAGTGACTGAAGGTCAGGAGATATGAACATGACATCGGAGTCGGCTGCCATTCACTAGCTGAAAGACCCTAGAGAAAATGACTTAATCTGTCTGGTCCACCATTTTCTCACCTGTAAAATGGGATTAACTATACAAAAAACATACATATGTATATACAAGTGCATGTAATCATATATGCTAGCACTTGTAGGACTATAGAAAACCATTATGCTCTGTTTAGCTTTTCTGGGGAGTAAGATATAAATGCTCAGGAACTATCAAACTCATGACTGTACACACCAGTTGGCTTAGAGACCCTGTGTCCCCAGGAAACAGGGAAGAGGAGAAGAAGGGTGAGTGTAATGCAGAGGTGACTTGTTCAGTAAAGTGCACAGTTCACGATCTTGGTGGGGGGTGTGCATACCCCACTGAAAATGAGTGGCACCTGATTCTGTGGGGACAAGAAATATTGTGAAGTGTAACATACTGTGCGCATTGCAGGCCACAGGTAGAATGTGAACGTGAGGCTGATAATAGGTGTGGTGCCTTCTGTGTTCCTTTTTCCTGTGGAATTGTTAATGCAGGGAACACAAATGGAGTAGGGTGACCCTCGGTCATCTTTTTGTCAAAAAGTGGTCTTTCGGGTTTGTGTTAAGTCATTAGCTGTGAGTTCAAAGCAACCCGGGAAGGATGCCTAGGGCATGTCCTAAAGCAAGGAGGAGAGTAGGACCAGTCCTCACCCTGCAGTTCAGGGGCTACCTGGGTTTGGGGCCTTCTAGAGAACGCCCAACTGAAGCAGTGGTTACAGACCCACCCGGTCAGGAAAATGGTGAGTCTCTCCTGGGGACCTCAGGAAATGTCATTGGGACCCTCTCCCCCTTGAAAAGGGGCCCTGGTGGCATTGTGGTTACCAGATGGGCTCTTAATCCCAAGGTCAGTAGTTTGAAACCACCAGCCGATCCGTCCGTGGGGTGGGGGAGACGAGGTTTTCTACTCCATATGGATAGTTCTACCCTGTCTCTTCCTGACATCATGAGTCAGAATTGACTCAATGGGAGTGAGTTGTTTCCTTCCTCCCCTTAAGTATCACCTACAGAAATCGTTCCATCTCAAATCCCCTTCTAGAAGCCTCTTTACATCCCTCGCTTGCACCCTGTGAGGGAAAGAGCCAGACTGAGGGAGGTGCAGTGGGAGGAGTTTCTTGAGCAGTTAAGGGATTGGTGGGTGTTGCTTTTGCCTCCCTTCTTAGCCCTCACTCCCTCCGGCTCTGGAACCGTGGGGCTAGCCAGCCTCTGCCTCCATTTGGGGCCCCTTAAGATAGTCCGGTGCTGGGAACAATGTAGTTGCTTACAACCGTATCTCCACTTGATGGGATGCTTTCCAGGGGTGAAATTGCTGGAAGATCTTTTACTTTGTACTATTTAAAAAAAATCATTTTATTAGGGGCTCAAACAACTCTTATCACAATCCATACATACATCAATTGTGTCAAGCACATTTGTACATATGTTGCCATCATCATTCTCAAAACACCTGCTTTCTACTTG